TGCAGCAGCTGCGGCTCTGTCTCCTTCCATGAGCTCTGTAATTAGGACAGCCTTTGCCTTGTTACTGGCGATTGCTCCTCTTGCTTCCAGCAGCTCCTTTAATGTGCTCCGTTTTAGCAGGGCGTAATTTGTTCCCATTCACCTGCTGTTCGTGAGGTTTATTCGAATGCGCTAATTCCCGAATGCCTGTTCCTTGATTCGTTTAAAAATCTGCTGAACGTTGCTTTGCTGTGTAAATTCAATCCCGTCGCTTGCCACCAATTGTAGCGGAGAGGCAGTATAATCCACGATATCTCCGCTGGGTAACAGGAACAACATAAAATAATCCAGGGAATCAGCATACAATAATCCAGACAACACTGTAGTAACCCTTCCTTCCCAAGAACTAGACGACACATAGGCTGGGAGTCAACTGACAACCTTTTAATCAGCAGGACAATTTATACAAGTCCCCATGCAAGGGGTTTCCTGAGTCCCTCCCCAGGGGCACTCCCAGAGGGGACTACATGGGGGACTTACATTACAGCATATTTCTCCCATCAGGCACCGCTGCACGAGAGGGATCATCTTCCCAGAATGCACCGTTAAGTGGATTATCCCCTCGTGCAGCAGAACCGACAATTCACATAAAAATCCATAACTTGGGGAATATACAGTGGATTTACACGAATGGACGTTCGGTAGATAGCTGGGGTCTGAGGGTATCATTCGTGAGATTACCGCTCAGATCCCAGCTAAAATAACCGAACGCCGCACGAACAACACAATTCGTATAAAACATACAAAAAGAACCGATTGCTTTTAGGGAAGAAAATACCGAATGTCCCGAAACTCCCGAACGCCCTGGAGGCTCAGCGGGGCTCATGCCGTCGAGTAGCCGTTTTTAGTACCAGGCGCTCGAAGACATAACCCCGCTGAGGGAACAAAGGATCCAAGATGGCCGACCGCCGCATGGTCGGTAGTCGAACGACGGCCACCCAGGAGAGCCTCTAATAACCGATTTCAACAATGTTGCAATCAGTTAACTAGCGCCACACGCCTCTAAGTGTGTGGGCTATTAGGGGGTATCGCGTTCGGTTCACGAACGGCCCTCCAAAGTGCCGTTCGTGAAACGAGCGGGAATCCCCATACAAACCGCCATTTGCATTCGGCGGAACAGATAAGTACAGGTAATGCAGGGAATACATGAAGCAGACACATACAGGTTAAAACGCATATCTCTCCAGACCTATAGGCAACCCTTAAAGGCATAGTGTCCAGTTATAGTCCGAGTGGCTAGGTTTGCCACAGTTATAATACCCCAAATGGAAGCTAAGGCTCATTAAATCCATCTCTCAAAATTCTACTGTGAATACTGTAAAGGACAGGTCTCCTATATGGCACTGTAGCTTCACGAAATAGTGCCAAAGACATTCATATGGGGTGTCATTTTACTCAGAAGACTTAGCTGATTTGGGGGGTTTGAACTTAGTGGCACATATGAAATATACAAAACGCCCAGCAAAAATGCAATCCGTATGTAAAAAATGCACAAAATTATTTTTTACCACATACATTGGCATATATTGGTGAAAAAATGGGGGCATGTTAAGGCACAATATGCACCTTATGAGATACCCTGGAGTGTCTGCTTTTACAAATGGTAGGCCTTTGTGGGGGTTTTTTGAACAGTCAAACTGTCATAATACCCCAAATGGAAGCTAAGGCTCATTAAATCCATCTCTCAAAATTCTACTGTGAATACTGAAAAGAACAGGTATCCTGTGTGGCACTGTAACTTCACAAAATAGTGGCAAAGACATACAATGGGGGTGTCGTTTTACTCAGCAGATGTAATTGAACACAAAATAAAACTTTGTACAGGAATAGCACACACCAACTTTACAAAATATACACGAGAATTTCTTTGTTATAAGTTTGTGTGCCAAAAACCAAAAAAAAACACAATTTTACTCCAATATTTAGCAGAGGTTGGCGGTGAAATGGCTACATAGAAAGTGTCAAAACAACCTTAGGTAAATAGCCCGTGATGTCTACTTTATATAAATATATACTTTTGTGTGGCAATTTTGTTTTCTTTTATGGCTATTAGGCTTACAAGACAAACATACCAAATTCTAAAATCGCTCCACATTAAAAGTCTATTTTACTCCTTGTGCTTTGTGACCTGTAACTACCAAAAAAAACTTTAAATCCCAGACACATTGTATATTCTGTAAATCAGAACAACTAAATTAATTTATTTTTAATTACTTTTCTTAACCTGCACTAATTATGCACACATTATTATTGCAAAAACTGTAAAAAAAAACAAAAAAATTTCATTTTTTTTACATTTTTCTGTATTTTTTTTATAATAAATAAGCATTTATATATATATATATATGTGTGTGTTACATCAAATTAAAGCCCTTTCTATCCTTTAAAAAATGATGTATAATATGTAGTATGATGTATAATATGTAAGTAAAATGCAAATTGCAGTTGAACGCAAACAGCAAAAAATGAAAAAAATGCCGTTGTCATTAAGTGAAAGACAAGATTTTGAAGCTCTGTCCTTAAGGGGTTAAGCATCCAATTCCCATAAAACTTATATTTTCTGAACGGGCATAATTATGGAAACAACATATTAAAATAATCATGCAAATCGGTTCAGGGGTTCGGGATATAGATGGAAGTTACATTTGACAGACCGCACGCACATTTTCATGCCCAAAACAGTTCCAGAGAATTAGGCTGTGCGGCCGGTCTATTTTCCATGTTAAATTTAGTTCAAATAGACGAACGGCAACCGTTCATGCAAACCGTCGATGTTAAAGTGCCATTCGAATTGTCGAACAGTGTTCATCTCCAGTCGAATTATCGACGTCTGGAGAAAGTAAAGTTTAGTGGTGTTCGTGCTGTCGCGTATCCGATTTGAGTTCCATGAACTCGTCGACCAAACACCGCTGAACGCGTTCAACTGAATTAAAATGGCCGCTGCTACGTATTCGTATGTTGCATGGCGGCCACTTCGACTACTTCCAAAGTGCAGAACTATACCAGTACAATTTAATGGGGCAGAAACTGTCAGGGATCAGCGGGCGGCTAGGAGGGCTAGCCGTTTTCTGGCTCCCTTTACCTGGCTTGTCTCCTGACTATTCTTAGCGTGCTTAGCCCGGCCACTCTAAGGTCCGGTATGGCACCTTTTCTGTGTGTGTGTGTGTCAGCGTGTTAGGTTCCCCGAATCGTGACAGAAACAGTGCTCCAAAATACAATAGGCACAAATAGAATTTTTTAAGTATAAAAATCAGGCACAGAGGGTCTGTCACAAAAGTCTCCGGCTGAGATATGCCACCTGGTGCTCTATTTCGTCGGCTTAACATGGGTCCCAGCCCAAACATGGAGGCATCTGTGTAGAAAATAAACTTTTTAGTTATTACTGTAAAAAGTTATTACTGTATGGGGTGGCCAACACAGGTGCCTTGCTTAGTGCTGACTCTGGAAGGCAACCTCGCACTCCGGGGACCACACTACTTGTCTGGGAAGGGACTTTTTGGTCAGGTCAGTGAGGGACTTGGCAAGGGAGCTATACTCAAGGACAAAAGCTAGCACCTGTGTCTTAGTACAGGGTTTGAGTCAGTTGGCAATAGCCTCTACTTTGGTGGGTTCGGCCTGCTGCTGCCCAGAACCTACTCTATGGCCGAGATACTGTACCTCAGCTATA